GCACAAATAAGATGGATCAGCAGAGACAAATGGATGCCGCTTTGGTCAGTCTTTCGGAAGTTGGAAACAGAAGGTCGATGTGCTGAAGGACCGGAGGAGGTGCTCACCAACCTACAGTAAATTCGATACTATTCGTCTTGGAGTGCCGTGAACCGGATTCGCCACAGTGCTCATACACAGTGTCGAACAAACGAGGCCACTTATCTTCACAGAAGTACTGAACTCGGACACAGCTGACATATTATGCAACAGGCGTCTCTAAATGACCATGTGAACACTTCTAGACCAAACTAGGACCTTGGGAGTGGCTGCATTGGAGTGGTGTTGCAACACGTCTGGTGAACTGTCGTTGCATGAGAAAGATTGCATTCACAGAGACTGGCAGATTTGGGTTCATGGAGTTGTCGGTATGTCCAAGTAGCTCTGCTTTGATTGCGAGACCTCATTACCAACCTTGTTGGACATTCATGTTCCCCACACACGTCATTAAGAAGCGACACAGAAGGTGTTTTGATTTCAGGCGAATTTAGTTGCTCCACTGCGGGACCGAAGGGCTTTGGTTCATGTCCGACGCGCTAGCGACAGCCTAAGAAATCTGAAGTGGCTGGACAGACACCTGTGTGGAATGCTTTTCGGTCAGGGAACGGAGGTGAGCTTTTCTGCTGCCCTTCAAGCGATACATTATTACACCCACAAGGACGCCTTCTACCACCAGGTGTGGATGCGAGGGTTTCCTGCTGGTGTGTGCACACCGATACGCTGTATGATTACCACACCATGTCATTACAAGAGACTGCTGGCCACCACAATGACAAAATACATGTGCACACTGCCGTTGGGGAGGTGTGAGAAATCGATCGCAGTCTATGTAGACGTATCCTCGGATGTGCCTGGCTTCGGGGACTGGTGGGAAACGTTTATACAAGCGGAAGGTGGCACCATAGTGGAGAAGTCTGAATGGTGGGCGAGAGACAGAGAAGGACGGGAAAGGATGCGTCTAAGCAATCACGACTGTGTCATTCTGGATGTTGATTATGAAGAGTCGGAGGAGGATCGCAAGTACCTGAATGCACTCGTGGATATTCAGACGCCACAGCAAGTGTTTGCTGTGACAGGCACACTGTCGCGAATAGGAGGTCTCACATCCAATTTCGACCACTTGAAGCAGATGTTCTGGCACATAAATGGCTTCGCCTTCGTTCCCTTCTCCAACCTCCCAACCAATTGGCGAATATGGTGCAACAAGTACCAAAACCACTCCACCATCAACTTTGTGGAGATAGTGAAGTGGGCCTGCCTTGATGTTCTTGTGAGGCGAAATGAGGCATCCGTGGTCTCAAATGTATCAATGATTGCATAATGCTTGACGCCATTCAGTCCAGTCGTGTAATGTTTGCGAAGTGAATTTGCAGCCAAAGGTGGTGTTAGCAAGCACTTATCACCTATTACTTGGGCGGGCAATGCATACGGCTTTGGTCATGTTCGGTTAGCGGCAGCTGTTCTTTGTGCGAGGTCCGCAACAGTTCTTCCAGCATTCGACAATCGCTTTCCACTTACTCCTCACTTATCTTCTTCACCGAGTGTGAGATTAAGAGTGTTGTTATGCGGCGATGTGAAGTTGACTGTGCTTTAGGCGGAATAACGGCTGGTACATTTACTCAAGCACCATGGGCGTATTTGTTCTCTACTTCTTCCAATGACATCGAAAATGCAGACACTCCATTCCCTTTGGGGTTGACTTGGCCGTACCACGCAACGCTACTGACTTACGTTAAGCATATGATGCGCGTATGCAGACGAGATTCAAATATTTGTCGGTAGCTGACTTAGACACGCAGAACAGCACCACAGGATAAGCACTTTTGCGTCTCCAATGATCGGATGAAACCAAATGCACAAAGGGGTGTGTTTTTTGCAAAGCGGTGAAGGCCGAAGTGTTTGTGTTCATAGTTGATGCGATGTCTCAAAGGCGTGCCTTCTTAACC